AATAATTATAATTATGATATATAGTTTATTACTTTATTACATATGATATGTTTGAAAATCCAGATTTAGACGTCGGCAAAGAACATGGCAATTTGCTTATCTTAATTCACATGCATCCAAAAGTTTGCCTCTTTCCAGCTAAAACCCTTAGGGCGCACATAGCTAATTTATTATATATGTTAACATCAATTTGAAAATTTAACCCTTTTCTTTCCTATAAAAACCCATTGCTTGCAACTAAATCCTCCATTCCAAATCCCTTAATGGTTAACAGAATCAGCAGCTACAAGAAGTCAAGAATTAGGGTATTCGAGAAATGGCTTCCAATAGTAAAACATCAGTTGTCCTCTTTCTAGTCCTAAATCTTCTCTTCTTCACTCTTACTAGCGCATGTGGCACTTGCCCGGGTCCTAAACCAAAGCCTAAACCAAACCCGAAGCCGAGCCCCAGCCCCGGAAGGGGCACTTGCCCTAGGGATGCCTTAAAATTAGGGGTATGCGCTAATCTTCTAGGTGGATTGCTTGGTGTTACCATTGGGACACCGCCAAAAACTCCATGCTGCTCCCTTATCCAAGGCCTCGTCGACCTGGAGGCGGCGGTCTGCCTTTGCACTGCCATTAAAGCCAATGTTTTGGGCATTAACCTCAATGTTCCTCTTTCCCTTAGCTTGCTTCTTAATGTCTGCTCCAAGAAGGTTCCACCGGGCTTCAAATGTGCCTAGGCAACCAAGTTTTATAATCTTCGGTCTTCAGTCCTAAGAATTTGTATTGTTAAGATCATTGCATTCTTGTGAGTTTGTACTTTTAAGATTATTGCATTCTTGTGCTTGGAAACTTCTCCTTCCCTTATGAGCAAATAAGAAAGAAAAGATTGTTCTTGTGTGAAAGTAGTTCTATACCCGAGGCCGTCATTTTTACTAGCTTGTATTTTCATATTATAATTATCAAAATTGTATCCATGTTTCAGTTTATTATCGAATATCTTGTTAACTAGAATATATTGTAGAATCTGAAATCATAATCTGTCTCTCAAGGCTGATTTGAGGGTTTAAAAATTCCACAAATATAATATCAAGCTTATTCGATTGGGATTATATAATGAATTCTAGCGCCTATTTTGTTCAAATAATAACGTTTATAAAAATTTAAGTCAAAATTAATTATTAAATTTTGTCATAAAATCTACAATTTTTATCCACTTTTCTACCACACATTTCATCAACTTTTATCAAAATTTTGAGAAAAAAATGATTTTTAGTAAAACCAAATAGCAACTTAATGTTATTACGAAAAGCATTTATTAATAGAATTCCCCTTCTGCCTTTTGATTTCTATTAGAATCCTTGATGCATAATTATATACACATCTAGGATGATGAAATTTTATAGCCCTCGTAAACAATGTCTACATAAAAATTAAACAAAAAAATAAAAATAAAAATTCCCAAACAAAAATTCATAGTATATATAGTTTACACAAACAAAATAAAAACATTATCCTGTTTCAGTAGACAGAATGAAAGAAGCCGGTTTTTTCGACAATTTGGTATAGTGCCAAAGAAAGCCAGTAAGAAGCTGGCTTTTAATCTATAAAAGGGGAAACTGCAGGAGAAGGACGCCGAGCCGACCTCGACATTTTATTGTCAAATAGAGGCTAATATGTTTGAGAGTTGTTTATAATCGATATAAATTGATATTATTGGTGAATAAGTTGGTAGTATTTATGAGTTTTACAAAATGTGTAAATAAAAAGGGATTTGGCCAATTATAGAAAACTTAGAACCCGGGTACAATAGTGAAAATGGCTAAAATATATCTATCTGAAAAGTCTTTCAAGATCATCTCGAGCAATACTTTTCATTTTAAATAGCTTATTTTAATATAAAAAGCATCTTGAAGAAATTTTGAAAATACAGAATAAAACATTTTATACAACTCCAATAATACTCTTTATATTTCACATAAATATTATTAGCTCCATTTTTCCTTTTTTTATTATTATTATTTTTTTTTTTAACCTTACTTCCATCTCTTTTAATGAATTACTGTCCGTGCTTGTTTCTTTATAAACCGAGGGAGTGCATAGAAAGTCGCAAAATATTGTATGAAAGCACTAAGCCCTTGTTTGGTGCGGATTAGAATTAGATTTTTAATAGATTTTGATAAATATTTTTGAACAATTATGAGAACCATGAAATATATGGATAAAATTGTTTGTTTGACTTTAATTTGATTAAAATCTTATTTAAATCTATTCAAACAGGGACTAAAGGTATAATATAGAGAGATAATTCGACTCCTTAAATTTGAAAAGTCAAATTCAATCTTTAGTTTAAATTTTAAATAGAGAGAGCTCATTGGAACCCCATAAGAAGATTGATGAATCTGTGTAATAAACAGAATGTGAATGTGAATGAGAATAATAAAGAGCGCAAAAGCTACAACATAGTAAAATCAACCAAAAACTACCCTGCAGAACTCACCAAAATTATGGAAACAGGGACTTTAATTAAGAATTAAGATCCATTAGCAGTATAGATTAAAATCTCATATTAAAATCAACATTTATTTAAGTCACTTATTACATGGAACCCACGAGCTACAGCTTTTTAACCACATATTTTATAAATTTTTTTATCAAAATTTATAAAATATAAAATAAAATAATTTTAATTTACATAAAAGATGAACTTAGTGTGATAACTAATAATCACACATGCATATAAAAGTTTAAACTATCAAAAATCAAATGAATTTAAGATGGATCTCACGTATCACCTCAGTTTGGATTTTTTATTCGAAGGACTTTTCGAATTTTCAAAAAATAATGGTGACAAGACTCGAACTCAAACAGTTAATTGCTTCTACAATGATAACCCACATCAAAGCTCAAATTATAGATGAGGTGTGAACTTAATTATTTATATTTGTATTTACAATCAAATTTTATAAAGTCGATTGCAAAAAGTCTATTGATGGGCCATGAGAATTTGGAAGAATCTCTTTGGCAATTTTGTTTGCAGCACAATCCAGCCCGTGACTCCAGAATTTGTTGAATGTAATGTATATTAATGTGCAAGTGGAAGAAAAAAAGAAGCTTCATTCCTGATTATTCCTTACCTAAATCTGTCTCTTTGTTTATGACATGTAAAGTTGAGATAGTTTAAAAATTGTCATACTCTACATGATCAATAATTATATTTTGTTGAATCAATTTTATAATCACGTTCCATTCAATAATTGTAATCCTCTTTAGCCTACAATTCAGTTACAATTGAAATTTTTTAATTCTTATAAAGAAGAGTCTATTTTATTTTAGATTTCTTCCTGGCCTTCTTAATTTTGGTGTCTTCTCATGTACAAATCTTTCATAATTTCTGTTCTAATCTCTTCCATTTCAAAGAAGGTAAAGGTGGTGGGTTATAGCTTTTAAGGATTTTCCTGAATTTAAAAGTTAGACGATCATAGATAATGTTACTCCAATTTTAATATGTTTAAAAGGTATTGAAAGACAGCAATGGTTATTATTACGATTATTTATTTTCATTAATCGACATCGTTTTCCACATAATGGTGTAATGGTGCGTCGAATTTGGGTCAAGGTTTGACCTATGACACATTTTCTCCACACGGGCATTAAAGTTTAGCCAAGGGGACTGGGAGATGGAGACGGCATATCTTAACTTCCAAAGCGCAAAAAATCTTTGGGACAAATTGGCGATGATGATTTGTCTTTGGCACAAAAAGGACATTCATAATTTTGAATGTAACCAAAGTTGGGCTCTTTTGTAAGCCAAGTACATGTTCCCCTACTTGAGCCTCATTTTTTTAAAATATATTTTGTAAAAAGTAATTTTTTTATTTATTTTTTTATTTTTAGAGAATGTGTAGTTAAAAAAGGGGGAAAATGTGTTTACGTGTAAAATTAATTATTAGAAGATTGTATGGTTGAAAATGAGTTTTAGAAAAATAAATTTTATAGAATGGAGCTCGAACATGTGCATTATCTAAGTGCAAACTTGGAAGGCCTATATGATCTATCTATTGAATTGTGTGCCAAACAATTTCAATGGACGATAATGTAAAATCAAGTTGAACTTGAATAGGCTTTGGACCTTAACTAAAGAAAATAAAGTGATCGCAAAAATTCCACAAGACTAGTACATTGACCAACCCAAACCAGAATTACAAGAGCTATTTTCGAGGTGTAAACTTTTAATAACAGTTGCTCAAATAGCATTATTCGGAATCGATCGATGTCGTTAGATCCGTTAATTGGTCATATGGATTTCTGTTGCTAAACAATGCATTAGACGAATTAATAAGAAAAGAATAATGTTATCTAGTATCAATAATATTTGAACAGCACTCTAAGTGGCTACACATGTATCTCAATACTCTCAAGCATTTTTCTCTCTTTAAAAATAGAAAGAAAATTCAATTTTATTAAATTAACACATTCTCTATAATTAAATGCATTCAAATTATTCTAAAGTTTAATGCTCCATATATTAATCCTAACTAAATAATATATGCAAAGAAAATTAAGGGAAATAATATAATAATTTGAAGGTAAGTTGGTGAAAATAAAAGAGAGAGAAAATAATAAATACATATTGACAGTAGTAAAATTAAATGCTAAAGATAAATTAGTTATTAAAATATTTAAAAATTCACTCTCTAAATTTATAGATGCCTCTAAATTGCAAAATATTCTCTTGAAAAATAGAATCTCTTGGAGATGCTATTAGGTCGGGAATAGCTACTATTGTTAGTTTCATTGATTTATTTTCCGGTTTTTCTGTGTTTACTTCTTGTTATGCCTTCCACTCTTTAAGATTACGGAGCTCATATCTTCTTCTTCTTCTTCTTCTTTTTTCCCCCTATATAACATGCTGACATGTAAGTCTTAGCTATATATATAGATTCCTCTGATACCATACCTTATTGTCATTTGATGCTCAAGAAAAAAATATTAATAACTTGTTATTTAACATAAACCTAAATAATAATCAGCAAAAAAACCTTAACTAGATATGGGGGAAGAATCACTTGACAACCATTAGAATTAAATTAAGGTTAATAATCTGTTTTGCTGTGATTAACTTAATTAAATTCTATGAAAAAAGAGAAGACACCGCCTGGTTATTTAACCAAGTTTTGCCCCGTTAATGAAGCACATGATCATGTGAATATATTGTTCTTTTCCTTGTATTTTACCTGCAAAGATGCTAAAATGCCACAAATGTCCAGTCTTGGCATATTAAGGATTTTTCAATGATATATTCTTGTACGCCATTCACATGATAGATCATGCAAGATGTGCTAGTTTTATAATATAGTAATACCTCGATAAATAAATGTTCGATAAAGTAATAATCTTACTTAAATAATAAAATTTTTCAATCCTAATTTCGACCAGTTTACTCAAGTAATAACCCCGTTGAATGCATAAGATAATACTTTTTTTTTTTAGTTCCTTTGAGGCCTAACACATATATAAAATAATTTCTTAAATTCATAAAAGTTCATACTAATACAAATTAACAAATTTTTAATTTCTCAAATTTTTTTTTACTTAGCCTCTTTCTAAAAAAATAAAAAAAAAATGCATCAAAATCTTTTGTTTTTCTTTGCATCCAAATTAAACTCCAAGATATTGAATTTTGAAGCCAATGTATGTACGTAATGTTTCCTTTTTAAAGTATACATGTGTGCTTTTTGTGTGCTTATAGATTAAATTTTGAATTTAATCACGTTCAATTATTATTATTATTTTTTTTTTACATGTATTATGGTAAAATATACAAGTTATAAAGATATAAAATACTCTATAAATTAATAAATTATTCATTTATCGATAAATTAATAATCTCTCTAAAATAATGATTTTTCTCAATCCCAACACTATTATTTTATACAGATTTAATTGTACTTCTAAGTTGAATAAATTGAGCTTTGGTACTTGATGATCA